AATAAAACTTGCCATAATAATTTATATAGCGCTTATACATTGCTGTTCTAAGCACTTTAAATGATTCAATTTTTTAAATGATTTCAGTTTCACCGCCTACATAAGTCATATACATAGCATAGTTATGTATAGTAGAAAATCTAGTCTTTGATACCGCTCTGACTCCTAGTTGTTATTTCATAGGCCCTTTCATGGCCAGTTCAAGACCTACAGACGATACAAAGGTCAGCATCGTTACCACAGCAACAAGAAACGTAACAACGAAAACTGAGCCTCCACTGCCGAGGCATCTCCACCGTCCTAAAATAGGGGCGAGCAGGGTAAATTGGAAAACAATTTCAATTTTTTCCATACTTTTTCTTCTGTTAACGATGATGGTTTCAATTCTAGATGTAACATTTATTCCATTTATTAGTTTATTTGTATTGCTGCGAAATATTTTTTTGCGTAGTAAGTCAGTTCAGCTTTCATGCTATTTGTAAATTTAGTATAACATATGAAAAAAAAAATTCAGTCGGTTTGCTAGAGTTGTGATCATAAGATATATATACTAAACGTTCACCTTTTTAAACGTTTGCTTTCAAAATTGATAATCACTTCACGAATCCCATCAACCATCATCTTTATTATCCTACAGAAAAACATAGAGAAACGAGAAAGCGGCGTTGACGATCAAATAACAGTATTCCATCCACTGGCCGTGATACTGGGTGCCTTTGCTGTGGTGATTGTGACCATTGTAGTTGTTTCAGCCTTTGTTGTCATGGTAATGAGAAAAAAACTTAACAGGTACGTCATCATAAACTGATAATGACTTGCGGTTGCTAGTTGGGACTTAAGGTATTAGTAACRGATTTGGTCCCCTATAGATCCTACACGCGCCACCTCAAATGTTACAATATTTTGCCAAAGTATTGTTTGTAACTAAACTGACGTTTTGTTAGTCTTTCGAGTATAAAAGGTACGCCGTCATACTTCTTAGGTGTGATGTCTTCCAGTCCAAAATAAAGAATAAAAAGGGTCATTTTGAGGCATAGCAAATGAAAATCGATTGAATATGTGGAATATGCGGTCATGGGAAAAGAGGTTGCAAAAATGAGGATAGTTTTCTTCGGCTGCATCACATTGGGTCATTCAATGTTGTAAACTTCAGCTATAATCAAAACCCGAAAAGTATATATGTAAACTAATATATACATAAAAGCCTCTAATAGGAGGAAACTGATGATTTTTAAGTAAGTAATGCGCATCGTCTGCGATTATTACGTAAGATGAATATGTTGACACCAGGAATCCCTGCTCAGAACCTCATTCCTTTTCACTTTCAGCTTCGACGACCAGAGAGATGAAGATGATGGTGATCTTAAGTTTTTGTTCTGAATAATCAGTTTATTATCGAGATTATTTTGCATTGATGCCGGTTAAAAACTGCCTAGTCTCGTACCCAGAGCTCGTCGCGCAATAATGACAGGGCTCTGGGTCTAAAGCGGGTCAAGCACTGTCACTGTGGGATCCCATCAATGTAGTACGACGTTTTAAGTCTTGTTGTTTGATTAGTCATGTCCATATAATTAAAACTACAATGAAGTTCTTACAATGATTCCCCAATTCAAACTTCAACCATACTCCCAAAATAAGGAAATATTGGATGTCACTAGTTGTATGAAGTGACTTCCAGTGATAGTGATATTGTCAAATATGTAAAAACGGATGCCATCGGCTTGTAGATAAGGCTAAGGGGGCTAAGGGGCATGCGCAAACGCAGTAGCCGATCGACTCTTCCAATAAAAACTCCAAGCCAAACCGAAGCAAAACTTACCCTCTTGGAGGGGAAATAGAAACTAGTGGAACTTACCATATCAGGAAACAACTTTGACTTTGAGGCAATAGTAAATCACTTGTTGGTGTCTGAATGTATACATTTTACAATCATCAGCCAAGTAATTCGTCAGGGTGATAGGAGATTCTTGCTTTTGCAGCTTAAATTGCTGTTCCAAAGCAGAAGCTGTAAAAGTTATTGAAAACATTTCCAGAAACTTCGGGGCTCGTGGGATAATACAGTACGACCGGCATTTGCTCGCCTTCCCTGTATAAAAAAAATCAATTAAAAAAAAATCGGTGTATTTTTTCAATGGGATGGATGGTTTATTCTTTTCATAAAAAAAGGAAAAGTCGTGGGACTCGTTATAAAAATGTATATGTGTAAACGTATCAAAGGTTATTTTTCTATTGAACCATACAATTATATTCTATCCAATATCCTAGCAATTGTATTCTGCGATCCACGTGTTTGTACATACATAAAATACCATACAACTAAAGACTCTCAATCGAGTCTGAATTTTAATATATCAAATTAAACGTGGCCTATATTCGGCTAACTTTTTGGAAAAATATGTATTATTTATGAACATAGCAAAAGAGTTCATTTTCAATGATTATGTAGAAAAAATAGCTAGAGTGGTCTATAAACTATGGTCAGACCATTTTCACACCAGTCTTTTATTTTGCGTCAGCTGAAACAATAAAAATGAGAGATCCTAAGAAGAGGAGGTTGGGTTTAGTTGTACACTTGTCTGTATTCTTTTCGATCAATTGTCCCAACATATGTTTTGTTTCCACTGAAACTGTCTTTATTGGAGAGTCAGAGAAAAGAGCAAAAGTGAATAGCGAATAGAATAGGTTCTCAAAAGGAGAGCCGGGTTTGGAGCAATATACCTCTCGTTCTTCAGCTTAATGTTTTCCCATTTCATTCCCTAGAGTACTGTTTCTTTGTTTAACGGTTGAAAGGCACATGAATAAGAAAGACATGAATATGGATAAAACTCAATGTTTTCCCATTTCAAACCATGAGTAATTCTATGAGTACCATTTCTTTGTTTAACGGTTGTGCACAAGACACATGTAAATGTTTGAATTTTTTCCGATGTTTTACCATTTCAGACCACGTGTCATTTCTTAGAGTCTTAGAGTATCAGTTCTTTGTTTAACGCTTGGTCCGATGAGAAGCCCGACACATGACGGCGGAGACAGTTGGTAAAAAAGATTGTTCAATCGTCAACGGGTCGAATGACACGACGAGGTATTAAATGGGGAAAAACATTACGCACAAGGTACAGAGGTGCTTTAGTAAGTTCAATCACCTTTTCTAATCGACATCACACCCATGTTCAGTATCATATCACAACACACCCAGCCGAAAAGAGGTACAACCGACTGTAGTCTCTAACCCTCCGCGATCCATGAAAAGCAAGTTTTTTCCTAAAAAAAAMCCAGAGAAATATCAAAATAAGTTGCAGAAAAAACACAGCTATTGATCCGCGGTAGCATGAAATGAAGATACTTAACCGGTATAGCATAAGGTGTTATCCCCCCCCTTCCTTTCTTATTCGACCTCGGCCATGTATAATGCACAAAAAGGTTCCGTTTGTTATTGTACCTTGCTGTTTAGTTGTTAAGTCTCAACATTCATGGATACGCATTTTGCGCCAAATAATGCCAGTTGATGAGAACCACGTAATGATTGATGGGTTGCAAGCTTTCCAAGAGAGTCAAAAAACAAAAACATGGCGGCCATTGTGGTGCCGTTAACAATGGATGCCAGTAAGAAATCTTTTGTTAAATGGTACCAACATGGCCGCGATGACGTAACGTGCAAACGAAGAATAGAGTGTTAAATGAATAAAGGGTATCAAAAACTACCTTAGACGTTTCCAAAACCCCTAAAACGTTCATTCGTTATTTTCTCCTCATAGAAGTAGGAAAGACCATATGCCGACAAGACACCCCAAACTCAAATATTTGCGCAGCGGTCGAGTGATGTCTCGTCGTAAGATCCCTAAGTACCGTAATGTTAACTAAACTCTTTCTTTCAATATTGAAGTGCATTAACCACTTGAACACCTGTAGATTGCTAAATATCATGTACATTGGATCCACTTCACACGACCAGTGTATATATTATATAAAGACCCAGAAAAGTGAAAGATTTTTTATGTTCAGGATCATTTTGTAGTTGATAAACCCAATCTTGTTCGGCAAAGGTTTTTTAACGCTTTCGATAACATGAAGTCTGTTTTCCTCGTGTTATGTTTCATTGGAGCTACTCTGGCTTTCGAAGTAAGTAAATCAAGTTTCTAAAGGTGTTACTGACATACTATATGGCCGGGAGTGAATATAGATGCTCCACATTTCGAGATTATATTAAATATATCTTTTCTTTTCCCTTCACTCTTTCTTCATTTCTTTCTTCCTTTTTGCTTTGTTCTCTTTTATTTTCTTTTAGTTTTAGCTTCTGTTTCCAGTTCGTTTTTTCTTTTCCTTGTTTACCGATYCACTAGTTTAATTCGTTTCGCTTTCTTACACTTTCTCCCTTCCATTCTCTACGCAACTCCTTTTCTCTTTTCAGTTTTCTTATTTCTTTTCCTTTCTTTCTACTTGACAGTTCAGCTTATTTCATTTCATTTCTCTTGATTTGATTTTTTTGATGTTCATCTCCATTATTAAAAAAAAATTTTACTCATTAGGAGTGTTCGTCTGGTTCTGAATGTGGTAAAGATCGTTGTTGTCTTTTCAACAAAGTCTGTTTTCCTAAGCTGCCGAAATACGCACCATGTAACACGAAGGTATGATTGGGAATGACTTTAACCCAACTGCATTACTTTACCTTTCAATTCTAATCAGCCAGAGAAATAAGAAGGGCAACCCAAGCATGCAAGGTTCTCTTTCATAACCAAAAGTGACCAAGTTTGAGCCATCAACATGATACTGAAGATAGAGTATAAAGAAAGAAAAATATTAAAATGTAAAATATTGTGTAAAGCCCCTCTCTTATTTAAAGAGTGACTCACCAAAACGCTTCTGGAACTTTCAAATGAATATTCAAAATTGTAATTCCTCGTGAGAATAGTAAGACAATGGGTTCTACTGATTAACTGAACGAAAGAAGGTGTGCAAGGGATTCTTGTATTAAACGTTTAACATCAAAAGTGTTTAAATATTAATTCCTACCTCTGTTCTAAAAAAAGACTCTTGGAATAGACTTACAATATTTATCTTCTATATATAAAACATCTTATGATCGATCAACAGAGTGCTCAGAAATGTGGCTGCAAGGATGGTCTTTCTTGTAAAGTCACTCGTGAGCTGACTATCGCTGGAAATCTCATCCAAATCAAACAATGCATGCCTGCAAATGAAGACATCAAAGTGGAGAAACTGACCAATCAGGATGTCCAGGAGACCCTGCAGCCCGGTAGTACAAACCCTGCACCAAATCCCGCAGGGAGATTCTACCCTGGCAAGGTAAATGATTGGTAGAATATACTAAGGATATACTATTTATCGTGTGTGAGGGGGGTTAGAAGAGGGTGGGAGCAGCTATACATTGACAAAGGGAGAACTTCAGCACCAGTAAAGGTTCGATTACACGCAGCAATTGTCTCTGCAACTTGTCTGGCAACAGCGTTGCGACAAAAGTTGCAAGAGTGTTTGCATGGTGTAACGTGGACGCAATCATTGGCAAACGTATAACTTAATTCTATTTTTCTCAACGATTGCTGCAACTCGTCTCGCAATATTTTTTTAAATTGTTCTGCATGTTATAACACGCTGCAATGTTCCATGCAACGCCACTGCGAGACAAGTTGCAGAGAAAACTGCTCCTCGCAATCGCACCTCAAGAGGGGATCATAACTAAAAGATAGTGCCTGTTGAGAAGAATAAGTAAATCTTTATGTTGCAGCGTATATCCCCCACCCCCCCCCCTCCCCCCAGTGATAAATAATGACCAGACGTCCCTTACTGAAATTCTATCAAATGTGATGTCGTTAATAAGACTATACATTTACTGAGGTGTAACGTGTAATTTTCGTGTGCCACGAGACAATAACCATCAGAGTCTATGATTGCCATTTCAAGACATTTAAAAGTTATCACAGTCATTTGAATATAGTTGCCACGTGATCATAATCACCACGTGATTGTAGTTACCATAGTGATTGTAGTTACTATAGTGATTAAGTTAATCGCTGTACTGTAGATGACATGTGATCGCAGTTGCCCCATGATTGTTACGTGTATTGCATTACAATAATCTCTTTTTGTTTGATTTGCTTTAGAAATGCCAAAACGCAAGTGATTGTTTCTGGCCAAACACGTGCTGTTTGTTCGAATCTCGCTGCGGTTTCAAGCTCCCAAAGTATTTCACTTGCTATTTCACTGTAAGTGCTTACTGTCATTACATCAGTCATTACATCAGTGCGCGCATAAATCCATGGTGATGTTTCTGGCTTCCTGGTGTGGATGGCGGGGGCATCCGATTGTCAGTTAACGGTTAAACCCTATCCCCACCCTCTACCGAGATATCCTTTGCTTGTCACGCAAATAGGCTTCGTGGGTAATGCTCGACAATGATTTGTGACAGAAGAAACATTTCTTATAGCACGTAGCCTCGGAAGCATATTTCGGAAGCGGACAATTACCTTAACTGTTTTTCTTGCTTGATTTTCATTGCAGAGCAAACACAAGTGTGACTGCATGAACGGATACGTCTGCAAAACGACAACCACCGTCATGCTACCAGTTGTTGGAACTCCCTTCCCCATCAAGCAATGTGTTCCCACATCTGATGCTTAGATCTCCGCCATTCAGGAAAAGATCACCTGCTAGGTATACTCAACCGACTCTGCAGGCTGAAGCATTATGATAGCTGATATTTTAAAAATTGAACAACATATGAAATAAATATTAATCTTTAGGGAAAACTGTTGTGTTGCTTTGGCAAGAAAATAGATTGAAATCTGCTCCAATGTGTGTTGTTCTTGTCCATAAAAAAAAAAACGGTTTCACGACAAAAATATATCGGTTACTATAACGTACTAAAGCTGAATTTKAAAGAAGTGGCACTCTGAAATGGACTTTATTTTCGTGGTCATGATTGAAAATGGAAAAAGAAACCCAGAAACAAAGGATGGAAAATTGCATAAAATGAATAGATGAATAGAAAATGCTCCGTCCCACCAAGTAATCGTTGGGTCAGGACCATGTTTTAACATCAGAACCATATGCCCCTCCAGGTAAAGAAAATAGTAATTTATTACAAAAGTAAATTTAAAAAAAAAAAACACAACTTTTTTAACGGATTAATAACGACCCTAAGGGACAGGTTCGATTATAATCGTGAAACCTTTTACTTTAGACCGTTTGTCCAAGTTTGTCCATTATTGCGAATCATCTCAGTGTCATTATTCCCCATGAATATCTTGAGTCCCTGCTTTGAGATGATATCGATAAAAAAATCCAAACATACATTCAATCTAATAAGACAAAAAAGGAAAATTATTAAGAAATTAATCCATTACAAGTAAAAGAAGCTATCAAAATGCTTTTGCTTTCTTTTGTGCACTAGTTTTCTCATCTCCTCAATCTTCTTCTGCGTCTTTAGCCGTTGTTGTATCATTTCTTTGTTTATTTCTGCGCTAGCACCAGCGATATCTTCACGGATTCTACTTATCCATCGTTGAATATCATTATCAATTGTCTGTATCTGTTCAAATGTGTTTTTTCTTAACGAAGGATACTGAGAAGCTTTGTCGAGATTGCGTTTCATATTGTTACGAATTCCTCTTGAATTATAAGCAAAAAAGTGCATCTGTTCGTTGTGGTTGTTTCTCTGGATTGCTGGCTGGAAAAATGCAGAAGGGTTCTTTCCCTTGGTTACTCTTGTTTGCTGTTTTCTTCTCAGAAAAACTGTCCCCTCTGGTGTTTTCGGCAATTGCAGTCTTTCAATTTTGGGCAGCAGAAATCTTTGTGGATTTTTTCCTTCTTTTTTGACGTTTTTTGCATCTTGTTTAACTTTTGTGGTCACTGCTAAACTTGGGAAAAACAGCGAAGAAGAGTGATGGAACGCAAGTTCTGGTAAATTTGAATCAACAGGGATCTTTGGAAGATGAATGTGGCTCCTCAATTCGCCATCTTTCACCAAGGATTTTTCTCTCTTTCTTACAAGAAGCAACTTTTGCTCAAGAAGCCTATCCTTGCTTTGAGTTGTCTTTTTTGGCAGTTTTCGTTTTTCTTCAGTTGTTTCCACTTGATTTAGCTCGGAATGATCTTCTTCCTTCATTGATGAACCACTCAAATGAAGATGCTTCTAAACTCTAGCTATACCTTTGTATCTCTAAAAATGAGGTATCGTGCCGTAATGCCAATTTTTAAACAATCAGGCAATTGATTTCCATGTTAAAAAAGTTGTGCCTCGCCAATTATTTTGTACGTGTTTAGTTTACCAACTTCCTCGAACCGAATAACCTGCAGAGCTGTTTCTAACAACACTGGCGTTAAACGTTTTACACCTTTGCTAATGATAGCTAACTGAATGATTTCCTTCTTTTGAACCGAAGCTGATCTTGGACAATTAGCACCTTAGAATGAGCTAATGATGTCTTTAAGAATACTAAACTAACGATATGGATATAAAGCCATTTGGTTTTCTTTACAATACTAGATGCTGTATATAGTAAACAGTTGAAGAAACAATAATATGACCTAAGTTTATTCTTTTGATAAAGTTCTCAGATACAAGCCACGTACGTTGACATTTTAAAATTCAGACTTTATTGCGAGACAGTTCAGTCGTATGGTGCTTCATGTATTGACGACTCTTAAAACTCCAGTGTATGCAGGCTTAGCCTCGAATACAGAAGCTCCTTGTTTTGTTATTCTATTTCTGCTTTTGTTTACCGACCTCAGAAATGAGGGTAAGCAAGCATACAGTGAGCTTTAAGAGTAGTCAAAAGTACAAACACGTGGATTATCAAATACAAGTGATGACGTAGGAATAAAATATATAATTTACTATATACGACCTTCCTACCTTTTAGCAATAATAAGAATATATGGTAGAAATGCTAGTCTGTTCACTATTCCGACTTTGTAATCGAATCTACTATGTAATTTTGAACATCTTATTCCGGAGAGCCCCGGATCGTCACCTAGAATTCCAATATCTTGAACATGGCCTATTGGATAACAATGTAGTGAAAGTTATGTACAAAGATTGGATTTTAACGCTTCATTAACTGTGATATCTTGGATGATAAATTGAGATCAACATTTGATATTTTGGCAGAGAATTGTTTTGGGAAAAAAGTTAAAAAACACCTAGTGATTCAGCAAACCACCATTGTTTTCTAACCTGATTTTCCATCCTGGAAACAATCTTGAAACCATAAGTAACCCGGCATTTATTGATAAGATCGAGTTCCACTTTTTACATTACTGATCTTTTAAGGAAAATATATAATTTCTCATTAACAAAACCGTAAATGTTTTTTTAACTTTAATATAACATGCTCGATTAATGAACAGCTTAATTATCTTCAACAAAAGTTTCATCACTGCAGTTATTAGTATATCATTCATTTTAGTAGCTCTTTGCGAAGAGATATTTTGTTATCAATGTATAATGTTCTTATTTTGCGGTGCAGTCGGTGATGATCTCTCTCGAGTCGTCTATAAATGACGTCATCATGCGGTATAAATCCATCTGCTTTTTTATTGGCTACAAGTACGACCCCTTTTGAAGGTTTGCGTCTGTATTAAGAAGTGCWTACTAAAGATTGGATTCTAGATTAAGCGCTACGTGCTCTGCCCAATCTCTTTGATGAGCATGATCCACGTGATCATGAACCTCTCTTGAGGGAAGCAAAAGAACATTATTAGGACAACTCCTTGATGCACTACGATACCTTGAGGGAAAAGAGTAGAAAGAGAACTTCCTATCTTTGTGGGGTGTGCCACGGCGCCTTGCTCTTGGTCCTCTAAAAAACGCATAGCACGAGTTGCACTCTGATTGGAGTGTCCCAAATATGAAAGGATTGATGCTGCTGTTTGCATATACTAAGATATTGGCAAAGACAAGTAGTGTAGTAAAGTAATCAGATTGCGACCCTGATCCAAAGTCATGCCACAACCACATGACATGCGTCGGCAAGAAACAAACAGCAAATGCGAAAACAGCCGCGATAAAAATTTTAACGATTCTCAAATTTCTCTGTGCTCTACATTTGATCATTCGTTGTCCGTTTCTTGTCTTTTTGCCAGGAGAGAAAATTCCTCTCATCCTTTTGATGTCTCTGTACAACTTGGCGGCTACCAGCAAGTACGCTATGGTTATGACAATCAACGGGCACAGATAAAGCGCCACAAACACTGACATGGTGTAGATCCTCACAAATAATGTCCCATTTGGCCATACTTCAATACAGTTGTTATCTTCGTACGACAATACAAGAATGTATGGAGAAACAAGGATAATGCTTCCAATCCACGTCACTATGATTATGATCCTCGAAGAATGGCCTTTTATGCGAGGTTTAAAGGGGTAGATGATAACACGATGCCGCTCAAGGCTCATTGCTAGCAGCGTTGCTACTGAAACTGCCATGAGAATCGTCTGAAATGGATAGACAATCTTACACAAGACCGCTCCATAGGGCCAGAAGCCTGACACTCTTTCAATCACATCCAAAGGAATACTTATTGTGCTTACAGCCAGGTCTGTCACGGCGAGATTGAGGATAAAATTCTCGCTCATCTTACGTTGAGTTCGTCTCAAAATAGAAATGCATATCATAGTGTTTCCAACCGCCCCAACAGCTGCTATCAGCACGTAGAAGAATAGTTGCGTGATCTTAATTCTTCGGTTGTCGACGATGATTTCACTTGCGATGCTTGTATTCGTATAATTCATTGAAAAGTCTGTTGAACTGTAACGGAATAAACCTACTTTTTTCCCCTCTTACTGTCGACTGCGGCAACCTCCCCAAAACTTTATCTGTATAGTAACAGTAGTAGCATCAAGTTTTCAATTCTCAGTCAATTGTTCATTTCATCTGACAATTTTCGTGTCTTTGCAAATCATCAGTCAGGATGTGAACCAATTGAAAACTGATGGAGCTGAAAAGAAGAAAAAAGATAGAAACTGACGAACCTATTGCATGTCATAAACGCAGCGCCTTTATACTTTAATTGGTCAATATTTATATTTGAGACACAATTACAGGATGTTGAGACTCAGTGAAGTTGGTAATTTGAATCTAATCTGAAAGCCTAACAAATTAATAAAGAAAAGAGACTCGGTGTATGTTTTTTTATTTATTCTTCGAATCTAACGCGCGCAGTGGCTCGTTTTAGAAAAGATGACACCCAACAATTTGTGGCGAAATAAATCGGTTATTTGACCATCGTACGAGCGGAACAGTACGAGACTTCGAATAAACTAATCTACTAAAAAATAAATAAAATAAACATACCTATAGAAGAACACTGCTCAAGTTGACATTTTGGATTAAGTTTGATTTTGTGGTTCATTTGCCTACTAGCTGCGGTCCATTCACTAGTAATCCAATCTACCTTCATCAAATACAGGATGCACACTAAAAGATCAGAGTAGTTTTTTTTACCATACTGCATCATTCATATCATTTTATTTTTCTCCTATCTTAGTGTGAGTGAATACATGTATTGTATCGCACCCAAAATGAGCCTGAAGGCTTGATACTGATTCTTAACTTTGCATTGATGCCAACGTTCTTCTTAGGYATTTTTCTTGATTACATCATTAAATTTCCCATTCATTGGACAACAAATATTTAGTGCGTCACTATGACTTAAGTTATACAAACTCTAATTTTCGTTCTTCAATTTTATGTTTCTTTAGTTGCGTAGCTAGACTTGTTCAATCACATCGATTGTCATCATTATACGTCACTTCAGTGACATCACTGATTATTATTGTATGAGTGAATAAAGTGAAGAAAGACACTGTGACACAGAAAAATACGATAAAAGGGTAAAAAGAGAATGAGCATGAGCATGAGAAAGAAAAGAGGTCAAAAAAGAAGTCCGTTAAAAGGAGAAAACGGTATACCTGATGATTCGATACGTCACTAAAAGGAAATTATCGCATGAACTTAGCACTCATAGTCATGACATCATTCATAGAGAAGAAAAAATCATTTTTGATAAAGATTCGCTTAATCTTCTGATAAACATCCTTAATGACGAACAAAAATAAGCTACAGTTTTATTTTAAGCTCTATGTTGAGCTCTAGTACTTAATCATTGAATTTATGTAATGTTTAATAAACGAGCAGGAGTGTTTTATCGGGTATAAAACACGAGGCGCAGCCGAGTGGTTTTAGACCCGATAAAACACGATCTGCGAGATTATTGAACGGCTTAGAAAACTTATGATGTTTGTTCTCATTGTGTACCGATTTTTTTACAAAATGAACCAAGTTTGATAGAGAAAATCCAAGTTAAAGTTTATGCAAATGAAGACGAATCTTTATCMGATWTAAAATCACCTTCATGGTCATGATTTCTATTGTGTTTTCTTCATGAATTATTAATGAGTTTTCTAACAAGTTTTAAAATATCTGGTTGAATAGACGTAAGGAAATAAGAGCAACGCATAATGGCAAATATACAGAAATTCTGAATAAGATAACGGTTTGTTTATGTATTTTACGTACGATAACGTTTTTTCTGCATTAAGTATGTTTTTATTACGATGCTGTAACGAAAACATTCGAATAAAAAAGTTTCGTATCATGATGTATGCTAATAATCTTAATTTTGACTATAAGTTAATGATAGAGCGTGGTAGAAAAAGGATAAAAAGACATGGTAAACGAGAAAATGCTGGCTAGATGGATGGAATGGGAAGAATAAATTGTTGGCTGAGTTCATCAATAATAGATAATAAATCAAGAAATGAAAGAATCGACCGAATGACTAGCATCTTATTATTCTATTCCCTGCAGGCCATGACTTATCAAATGACGATCAAATAAACTATGAAAAATCTTAATACGCAATACATAAGAGGAATTCTGTCAGTAGGAAATGAAAATGAATAACAATCAATCATTAAAAAAATTTTTTTTCGTTTTTGATTAAAAAATTGACCTTATTATGTTTTCAGTATTTAGATCCTGTTAACCATTACGTTTTAAACTCTATTGTTTTCCTACAAAATGGCTCAATATGACTCTTGCAGTTGTCGGAAGTTTAGAAGAAAAGTCTTGTTGTTCTTCCGTGACGTTAATTTATTTTTTACCGAACAGCTGAAAATTTATACTTGAATACATCAATTGCTTAACATATGAAAATGATCTCGATTGAAGCTTCTTGAAAAGACTAAAAGTTTGTTTTACTTTCAAGTATAACGAAAAGCCTGCAAAACAAAAAAATATATRTATAAAGACAATTGCAAATAAAATGAATGACGGTTGTAATTCGCCTTGTACAATTACAAAAATAAGAGTTGCTAGAGGGTGCCTATGATGGGGCAGTACCCAATTGAACTGTCAGTTAACTACTCCTAATTTTTCGGCCAAATGTCATTTGACTGTAATTATTTTACACGAGCATTGACCATATATTAACCAAAATAATGAAATATTCGCCGTGTATCTACTAATTTTAGGTTATTTGTCAGTTAACTCGAACATTTCTTTAGCATCTGTCAGTTAAATACCAACTCCATTAGCACCCTTTATATACTCAGGCCTTGTTGGACTGAGTTGATGCCAACTGGCAGACTCAGTTTTGATGTCGTTATCAAATTTACTTTCAAAATCCCTTGCATTTTGCAGCTCTTGCCAGTCATTTTTGAACTTGTGAAAAAACGTACAGGGCTTGTGATTGTAGTGGAGTCGAGGAAAGCCTAGAGCGACGATAAAACAATGGGAGGGAATACGAAAGGAAAAGATCAAAACGCGACTCGTGGTTTATATGGACTAATTCACCACAGACAATAAGAATGCGACATTCAATTTTCTAGTCAGTATAGGAACGGCTTTGACGTGGTTTAGAACTAGAGTACAACATCGGAGAAAAGGGATAGTAGTCTTCAGCTAACCGCGCCCCCTTCCCCGCCAAAAAGAATCGTATATGAGTCCCTACTAGTACAGAAGGCTGTAGCTCTGGTAATGATAAATTTGAACAACGTCAGTTATTAAAACGCAATTTTGACCAATTAAAAAATACATTTCTGTTGATCTTTTCCGACCTTCATTAGCGTCATGATAGTCAGTMTATTCCTTTCTTAATTCATAATCGATGACCAAATCCATAAAGAAACATATATATATAGTGAACTGAATCTCGATCTAAACAGTGATGTCAAATATGAGAATAAAGATTAGAAGAATTGAAAATCCATTAGAGTGAATCCTCATATGAAAGATGTTATCCATCTGTCTACGTGAAAACGCCATCGGCTACGGTCTTAACAAGCAACCAAAGTTTAAACGAACTGTTTATCATTAGTGTTGTGCCTAACAAACTGTGATCTATTTTAAATATAAGGTATTTGACCATATCAGAAAATGAAATCTTATAAAATGAGAATTGATAGAAAATGTCTAACAAAATTGAGAAATGCACTTTCTACTCAGTAATATTAAGTTAGGAATTGAGTGTAAGACTTCGCCATTGGCATCTCCATCTCCCTCAGGCATCTCCATCTCCCTGATAAGATTTTACTGAATCCAAATGAAATGTAAAAAGAGGGCTAGGTTGGGGGGGTGGGAGAACCAGGTGAAAGCTCTCGAAGCACACAGGAGAGCTCCAACAAGTACTAACCTCCCAAACGACACATAGAATCGATCCCGGGTAGCACTAAAGTACTGAATGTGAAGATAATTGAAAGACTTCAGAAGATTAAGGTGGGATTCAAGAGAATAAGATAGTACACAGTTAGTGTCCGCCATCTATCAGCAGAACATGACGCGCAACCTGATTGGTTATTTGGGCATCGATAGACACTTTTGCTGAGATATTTAAACCCCAAATAACCGCCTTACATCGTCCCAAGATAATCGCTGCCCAGAATAACGGAGGATTGAAGTTGATAATAATTTCATGTAGTTTAATGCAATGGGGCTGACTGTACACACCCCATATATAAGATTATCTGCTTACCGTTTCACCGACAGTATAAAACAAATGACTACTAGATTTCCGTAATTGTCGTAATAGCTTTATAACAAATCGTCTCTATTACATCAAGGAGCCGGAGCTTGACAAACGATCCGCCAAGCTTAAGTTTTAAGTTTTCTTGCGTTTCAATAGTAATTCATTCTTAATTTCTCTTTTTTTTTTTTCATATTGAAACTTTCCTATATAAAGTTAATTTATTTCGATTGATCTCTAAATCAGGTGCAAAAATGGAAGAATAGGTTGTCCCTTTGATTTTTTATTGAACTTTCGAATCTTATGTTTGAMCACTCTGGTAGACTACCTACGTTTTAAGCCTGCCATACATTACTTTCTTTTTCAAATAGAAACATACCTTACAAGTCAAGTAAAAACTAAGCAAGTAAATGTTTAAAATTTCTCCTAGCCTAGATTTTGAGAAATTCTAAACTTTGAGTATGAGAAATGTCAAATCATTTTTATCGGTCAATCAGTATCAATATCAGTGATCCGATAGTTTAGTCTTTAATTCTCACGTAACGTTCTTTTCACATGTTCGTGGTTTGTGTTTGCGTCCTCTTTAATCTAGTGGATTTTATGAACTACAGTACTGCGATTGTGCCGATGTTCTTTGTCAAGATTCAATACACGTTACCCGAATTCGCTTATTGAGTGATCACGTAACAATGGTCGATCGATAGGATGGACTTGATGTGTTCATACATTTACTGTATTTATCAAGTTCAAACTCGACTAGGGTCCATTGTTTCGTGTTTGCAGCTCAAGCAAATTTGGAAGAAAATCTATTTGGCAGTGACAGACGCAACTTTAATCAGATAGGGCTACTTGTCGCTGATGACAGAGTTTCGATGAGGAACAGGGCTGTGCGAGGTAACAGGACATTTTTGAAAACAATGAACACATCCTTCGTTCAAAACTATATTAAAAACTATATTTCATGAAGTTTGATCTCAACAATCGCCTACTTGACACTGGAAGCAGGAAAACGTTTTTCAGAGATAATTCGTTGAAAGACTTCATTAGTTCGTTCGAGGAGGAATCGCAGTAAGCAATCAAAAAATTTGAAAGCGTTCAATTCAATGACGCCATAAGACTCAAAAGATTCTGTGCACAGGCTCATTTAATTCATGTCATTCTTGTGTCTAATAAACTCGAAAACAACGCCAAGCTTCCTGACTTAACAATACAGGCTGGGTACTTTAGGACTTTTGTTTGAGTTCATCGTTTTTGCTCGCTCTTCGCATGGTCTTCGTTTTTCTTTGTCAACTAAACTTATAACCAAATAAAACCTCGGTAAAAAACCTTTGGCCAGATTAGCAGTAGGTGGTTTTCTAACCCAATAAAATAAAYTAAATTGCTTTTTGATATTGAATGCATAGCGCTTTAAAAAGATTTAAGTAAACTAAAGATTTTAGTCCATACCTTCCATCGTTTTACGAACAGGTTTTTTTTCGCGCCTTCTTCGTCCACACGTCGTCACTTGTTATACTTAGAATTGACCAACCAAATGGTTTCGTAATACATGTACTGACATCTTAATCTACAAGAAACAAGATAAAGAGTCTCTAACAAAAGGTTGCTTATGTAATTATATATCAGTGAAAGTTGAAGAGTCGCATTGAATGTGCCCACTAGCAAAGTGTGAGAAGAGCACTAACTAATTTTGTTAGACGATATTTCACTGACATCCGTTCATTTATTTGCTTCTCAATGTTTCACGTCAAGAATAATTATCAAGTAGAATAACAACGGAAACTCCCTGAAAATAATAAAAAGTTAGATTAGATTAAATTAGAATTCTTCCCATGCGAGGATTCTTTCTTTTTTAGTCATCAAACGGCCCCGAGGCGACTCGGCGTCAGAATTTTCGTTGTACAGAAGACTGTCACTAACAACTCCCAACTAGCATTCAACATGAAGTATTCAATATAAAGCTTTTCTGATACGATTTCTCTCTTTAAGAAAAACATTTTTTGCTCTAATATTTTAGTAGTTGTTATTGTATGACATTTGATTGTTAATTTTTATAAATATACTTTTGATTCCAAAAATTAAGTAAAAAAATAAAAATAAAAATAAAAGCTGAACTTATTTATTTCTGAGTTATTGAACTCTGCCAGTCCAAGAATAATCTCAATTTCTCGCTAATCTTCTTTTCCATGATTTTTCATTAAAAAATAATTAAATAATAAGCTCAGAAATAGTCTTTTCATTATTAGGTTTTTATGGATAACGTGACAGATTTGTGCATTTTCCGAAATTCCCAGTTCCTAATCTTATGTAACGTGGTATTAAAAAGTGATTATGAGTCACACGAGTCGATGACCATATGCATAACTCAAAACTGAATCTACTATGGCAGCAGTTTTTTAATGCTCTTGTAATTTTATTTGTTCGACAAAGTGAAAGTTACAGCAGTTATCAGGGGACTATAGCTACAATCACTCAAGTTTTCCATTAATTTTTACTTGGTTGTTATCTCTTTTATTAAAAGGATGTAGAAGGATTAAAGGTAAACACCAAACCACATGCTGGAAGTCGAAGAAGAATACGATGAGCACCTGAACTTTTTGTTAATGCTCTTGTAAAAGCCAAAGTTGTCTTCACTGGGCGAGTAACCTTTGGATGCACCAAATGAACAATGACTTGCGCTGCTGTCATGATGGAGGATCTCCTTATTGGCTAACTGCCAGAATGCAGCGGTGACCTCAATACCCA